TAGGTATGAGAGATACTGACACAGGGCAATGTGGTAACCATAGGGAGGCTGAGAGGGGGAGAAGACAGACCAGGAAAAGAAAGCAGCCAGCTTCTTGCAGCAGCCCAAGAGGGTTTTGTGGGAGGCAGGTACATGGTACAGCAGAAGGTAAGGAGAAGGCAGCCTGAGCCCAGCCAGGGCAGCTGTCTCCTTTCTGAGTGGGGCCAGAGCTATGGCAGGCTTGGAGGAGGAATCCTGTCAGCAGGCAGCTAGGCTGTAGAAGATGCCCTGGAGGAGGACACAGCCAGGGGGGCTGGGAGCCTTTGCTTTTTCCCTTCATTGTGGCACCTCCTGCTGGGGCCTCTCTGAAAGGCTAGTCTCCCATATGCTGAGGATCAGAGTAAACTGGTGGGCTCTCTATGTCCTCTACCTGCTAGCTAGGTCCCCAGCATAGGAATGTGCCTCTTCTGCCATCTTGGCCCCAAGTCTGGTACTGGACTGGTACACATGGCCCCGAGAGTGTCTGGAGAGAAGGTGTCCTGTGATGCCCCTTTGTGGTGCTTCCTTCAGGGTGTAATATTAGCCATCATGGAGAGGAGAGTGGAGCTGTGAGCTCCAAGCTCTGCTGCTAGGCAATGTGAGAGTCTAGAAAGGCTTCCACCTGCAGAAACCTGAGCTAGAAACCCTTGTTACAGCACACGCACATTGGTGATGGGGAAACTGAGGCCCCGTGAAGGTAGGAATATGACCTGGATAGGAAGTAAGGCTGGGCTATGTGCAACATGGCTTTGCCCTCTCTGGGCCTCAGTCATGCCCCTGGGGGATGGAGCATAATCCTTTCATGGCCGTTCTTCCAGGGGTGAGTTGAGAGAATCAAATGCTGTTGGAGATGGGTCCATTTTCTGCAGTGACAAAGTGCTTTCTAAACAGTTGTGTCCCTGTCAGCTGGAAGCCCATGTACATGTAATATGCTCAGTAGAACTCCGAGCACTTTGCAAACCATCATGAAATCTGTAAAAGACAAAGTGCTTTGTAAATTGCATATGCCTAGTAAGTCATGGCAGGCTTCAGGAGCTGCCATGTGCCTGCCCATAAACTAGGAAGCAGCTATAAACTGCTGGGCGCCCTCATGGACCCGAACAATTGTTCCTTCTGAACAGCAGAGCATTTCGTAAGCTGCTGTGAGCTGTGCAAAGTACAGCTGTATAAATTGTGAAGTACTCCTACCCTGCAAAGCACTTTGTAAACCACAGGCGCTCTGTAAAGTTCCAAGCACCTTATAAACTATCAAGTGCCCTGTAAAGTGCAGAGTACACTACAGACTAGAATGAGAGCTGTGAAGATAATGTGGAGTGTAAATGCTGTGTGGTCTTATGAACTTCAAGTCAAGGCTTTGTAAGCTGTTTGGTACTATCCAGATGTGGGGGCCCTTTACCCCTGTGCCACTGCAAAGCGCCACTGCCTCTTGCCACCCTAGAAAAGAGAGGAGGCTGAGTCAGGGTAAGAGGAGCAGGCACGGAGGGGAGGGGTAAGGCTACAGTATCAGGAGAGCCATGGCTCTCCTTGGGTTGGTAGTACTGGGGCCCACACCCTTGTCAGCTGCATTCACCCCTTCAAGGGTGACACTGTAAACAATGGGCCCAGAAAGGGGCCACCTGAATTATGGCAATTTGCCCTTGCTGGCTGCTTGGACAAGGGCCCTCCTTCAGCCCGAGGAAGCCGCTGAGGACAGCCAAGCAGGAACTGGATGGCAGGAAAAGGGCCAGGAAAGTCAGCTTTTGCAACTTGATCTGACAGACAGTGTGGAGTCATTAAGGTCCCTGAGCTGGAAGAGGCGTGGTTAGAGTCAGGCTTTAGACGCAGAGACTTGTCAGGGACTGGGTTGAGGCCAAGTATAATGTCACAAACTTGTCACAGGGCAGTGAGTGTGGATGAGGATGGTTTTAAAACCTCTTCCTGGCTGGACTGGGGACCTGAGTGGGCTGCGTGCAGAGTGGGCCGGGTCTCAGAACTGGGGGCCAGTTTCCATGTCCTGAGAAGTGGGGTCCATGTCTGACAAGGGCCAGTTCTTGGTAACACCTCCTTTTTACCGACTGACTACAAAGGCTTTTGAAATTGCTGGAGCGACTGGACTGTTGCAACCCCCATGTGGCCACCCTGCTCATCCTTGACCCAAATGGTCTCACAATCTAGAACATTCTTCCAAGGTCGGGTGTGACCTACAGTCAGCATTGCTGTCACCCCCCCCCAGGATGGTTGCTCAAGGCCCACTGATGTCCCTGTCCTGTGCCCATTTGTTACTTACTCACTCATATCTACTGGGAGCCATGCGCAGGTATGCCAGGCACAGAGGTCCACCCTCCCCTCAGTGTCACAGAGCACAGGCATAGAAAGTGAGGCAGCCATGTGAGCTAAGAGGGCAGCAGGGGAAATCCCTTCTTCTGGAGGGCTTTCTGGAGGAAGTGACATAGCAGGCTGCCCTTGAAGGACAAGCAGAGGACCCAGCAGAGGAGGAGAGGGAAGAATAGGGAAGCAGAGGCACAGCACACTGTGTGACCCATGAACAGGAACGTTGGTCTGGTGGGGTTGCCGTGGGGGGAGGGCGCTGTTGGAAAACTGCTGGTCGTTTGGGGTCTTCAGGCAGGTATTGCAGCCAGAGGCTGGTTTCAAGTGACAGAGACCATGGAAGATGGAGGAGGATGAGCCCTCAGGCATGGGGTGGGGCAGGGGGAAGAGGATGAGGCTGGAAGTAGGAAGGCTAGCAAGGAAGCCTGCACCCAGGAGTGGCCACCTTAAACTGGCAGCACTGTAAGCTGAGGCCTGCAGTATGAGTTTATTTTACAGCCGAACTCAGGAGAGGTGCTCAGCAAATGCTTGTGAGAAGGGATGGACAGACGGATGAATAGATGGATGGATGAATGAGATGTCTGGGTTAGAGGAACCATGGGCCCTGGGCCCTTTCCCTTGTACTTCCCAAGGAGCAGACACCAAACAGGGACTCTGGGACCTCCCTCCCACCCACCCTGGGCTGGGGCTGTGTGGAGCAGGAGAAACGCCTCCTTCCCTCCAGCCTGATCTGCTCCTCCCTCCCCATCTGCCCTCTGAGAATAGCAGGAACTGGACACCAGCCCCCCTGGTGTCCAGCCTTGCCCAGACCTACATAACCACCCTTCACCCCCTCAGAGGGCCTCAGTAAGCCTTGCCCTGTCTTCAAATGAGGTGCGTAAAAGCCACTGGCTTTGTGTGTGTGCCCAACCCCATGGGGCTGAGTCACATGGGCAGGGTGGGTGAATGAGGGACGAAGAGAGGTGTGAGTCTACTGAACACAGCAGTGTAAACTATGAGGCTGTTTGGAATTCCTCCCTTTTTAATTTTTCTCAGACCCTTGAAGTAACAGCAGAGGCTCCACTGTCTCTAAAAGGCCCTGGCCTTGACAAGTTGCTTTTTATCCCATTTGTTTTGTTTTGTTTTTTCTTTTGGCAGTATTGGGGGTTTGAACTCAGGCCTCATGCTTGCTAGACAGGCACTGCACCAACTTAAACCAGGCTCCCAGCCTTTTTGCTTTTATTTTTCAAGTAGGTTCTTGTATTTTATGCCTGTACTGACTTGGATTCAGATCCTCCTACTTAGGGCTTCAGAGTAGCTGGGATGACAGGCATGGTTTACCACATCCAGCTTCATTGTTGAGATGGAGTCTCACTAACTTAATCTAGGCTGGTCTTAAAGTGTAATCCTCCTGATCTCTGCCCCAGAAGTAGCTGGGATTACAGGCATAGGCCATCAAGCCTGGCCCATCATTTGCTCCTTAAAACAAAAGAGCATCTCCCACTGCTACTGTTTCTTGCTTGAGCCTTGAAAGTATGGGACCCCATATCCAGCTTGGTCTCCACCTGGATGACTGTCACACTATGGTCTATCTTTGAAAAAGTGCCACCCACCCCACCCTGTGCTGTCACTTGTCTCCATAGCAGTTGGTACACCCTTCCCCTGTAGGCTGAGTGCTGCCCAGGTGAAGTGGCAGGGGTGGGAGGGGTAGGAGAGCTGGGGGGCTCAGTGAATATGGCCATGTGACTAGACAGCCAATGAATAGTCAGTCCTCCTCTGCCACTGACTGACTGTTGAGGAAGCGACTCCCTTCTCTGCTTTGGTGCCCTTGACAGTAAAATGGGGACAAAGGTCCTGGAGCAGCCTTCTCCTCGGGGCTGCTGTACTGCTCAAAACCTCTTGGAACCTGGAAATGCACACAGCACCTGGCTGCGAAGCCTTGACGTGTGGTGCAAAGGGGAGGAGCACCATGTGTGTTTAGTCAGGGCAGCTGTGGTCAGAATGTCTGGGACCCCCCAAATTCCTTGATTGAAATTGTCACCATCAAGGCAACAGTGTTACAAGGTGGGTCCTTTGGGAGGTGATTAGGTCATGCAAGGCAACAGTGTTACAAGGTGGGTCCTTTGGGAGGTGATTAGGTCATGAGGGTGGAGCCTTTACCAATAGGATTAGTGCCTTTATAAATGGGGACAGAGAGCTAGCTCACCCCTTCCACCATGAGGATGATGTCCACAAGTGTAACCACACACTAAGTCTGCTGGCATCTTGATGACAGGCTGTCCAGGCTCCAGAACTGAGAGAAATACATTTCTCTTGCTCCTAGGCCATGCAGGTTTCAGTGTTTTGTTTTAGCAAGTGAAAGCAGTCTGACACGGGTACCCCAACTTAGTGCCTTAAACAGCAAATCAAATGTCTCTCAGTTCTGCAAACCTGAGACCTAGGTGTGAGCAGAGCCAGCCATGCTCCCTCTGACATCATGCTCAAGCCTCTCAGCTCTGGTAGTTCCCTGGCTTACTGCCACAAGCTGCCACTCCAATATTCATTTATTCCCTATGACGTGACACCTAACTCCAGCATGGCCTCATCTCACTGGTGCCTGTCTGCCTAGGAGCTAGAACACAGAAGGAGCACCAAGAGCCTGGGCCCCTCCACCTGGGTTCTGCTAAGCCTTGCCCTCCTGTCCTCCCTTTCTGCAGTGTTCGAAATGCTATCCCAAGTCTGGAGGATTCTGACTCAGCTAAGAGAGCCATGTCTGAGGATCTTGAAGGAAGCTTCTCCTCGGTCCTGGGTGACAAGGTGGAAAAGGATAGCTCTTCCCAAGTTGACAAGTATGTGCTACCCTGGCCTGGGCTGATAGCATAGGCATGGCTCTGCCATAGGGCCCGTAACCCTGTATTGGGCAAGCCACATCTCCGCAGGCACAGGTCAGCCCTGACATCTGGCCTGTTTTACCAACAGCAGTCCCACTGAGCATTGAGGCTACTGCTGCTGGCAGCAATTCGGGTGGTACAGACTGAGTGTCTTTGAAGCCTTTGTAGCAAAACCCCACAGGTCAGACCTGTAGGGTGGAGCCTGCCCCCCCTCCCCTGCCCTGTGAGAATCTCACTAGGCAGTCAAACTTCCACTAATTTCGTTTTAGAGACAGGAACCAAATCATGTTCTGCAGAACCACAGAGGAGCAGGTAGAAGGTTACAGGTGCCATAGGTGTAACCCCTCAGTAGGAAGGAAAGGACCACACACACCTCAACCAGGCCCTGGCTCCCCCCTCCCTAGCACTTGCCTTTCCCTGTTTTGATGTTTAGGTTGAAAACGCCTGAAATAGATCTGCATCCTTTGGTTGTCAAGCTTAGGAGGGGCAGTGAGAAAGTGACCACCTGGAAGAAACAGACCAAGAAGTGACACCCTCCCTACACCCATCCCGGCTTTTCAGTCTCCCATCCCCTTTAATAAACACTCATGCCTCCAGGTCTGGGTGAGGCCATGGGTGGTTTGGGGGCACGACCGTCTGGTTGCTGTAAGACCAGAGGTCCCAACAGCCCAGTTCCAGGCTGAGTCCTGTGAAACTCGCTGCCCCCAACCCAGAGCTTCCTGTGTGGCCAGCAGTGAGCCTGTGACTTTCAGGCCCAGAAAGAAATGTCTCACTGCAAGGGGCCTTGATCAACTATAAGGTGACCCCTGGGAAACCTCACATGGGCCTGGGCTATGTCCTCCAACCCTTCCCTGGGTGGGGAAGGGCTCTGATTCTGGCCTAGGTGGGGAAGAGAATGAGTGAGAAGGAAGAGGGAGAAAGAAAAAGAAAACAGTGAAAAGAGACAGTAGATAGAAAAGACAAAGGGAGGGGTGAAGATTTGAGAAGGCAGAGATGGGGGTGGGGGGAGGAAAGGAGAGGGGAGGAGTGGGAGGACCTGGAGAAGAGGGGGAGAGAGGGAGGAATAAGAAAGAGGGAGGACAAGAGGAAGATGAGAAGGAACTGAACCAGAGCAGGGCCCTTCAGTGGCACCCAGAAAGCCAGAGCCCTGCAGCCCCCTTGGCAAACTCACATCTCCACTTAGGCCAGCACTGGTGCCTGTGGGGGAATTGGATGCCCCTTCCCTTCCCTGATAGGCCTGGAGAATCCTTACTAGCATCGAGGGGTCCTGAGTGAGCCCCCGGGGAGTGCTGCCTTGCTTCAGATCCCTGACGTATCTGAGAGGGCTGGACCCCACACCAGCCCTTGGCCACCAGCTCTGGGCTTGCTCCTCTGGGCTTCCAGGAGCAAGGTCTCTGGAGTGTCTGCTTTGTTTTCTGAAGCCAGAAGAGTGTTCAGGCCTCCATCTCCAGGCAGCATTTAGTGATGAATTTTATGTATAACCGTTTGTGTTTCCTCTGTAACGCATGCTTTTTTAATCTGAATCTTTGGAGTTTTAGTTTTGTCCTTTGAATCATTCAAAGGCATTTTTCGAATTACACATTTGTTCCCCTAGAAATGGATTGGAAATGGCCTGCTGTGTTCTTAAGCCACAGGCTTTGATATTTTAGGGCCTTGGTGTTTCTTAGGGGTCCTGGGTCTCTAACCACTCTCCCCCCTCCCCCAAGCCCAAGCACTAAGACATCTGAGGACAGGAAGGCAAGCAGACATGCACACACCCACCAGTCCCTAAGGCAGGAACCTGGTAAAGGTTGGAACTAGGACCATGGCTCTGGTCAGTCTGAAATGAAGCTTTTACCTGCCACCCAGCTGACCCCAGGGCCTGCGTGCTCAGCTGTGCTTGCACATGTGTGCCAATCATTTGTATGTGCACTTCAATAGCTGTGTACATGGGAGCCCATGTCTCAGAAAGGTAGGCCCTACCGAGGGTACACATCACGCTCAAAGGGGGCAAAACCAAGCTGCATAAAAGCAAGGATGTCTCCCATTGGCCAGACAGGTCCAGGGCATGCCCAGTGCTACACAGTCAAATTGCTCCCTGAGGAGGAGGAAGCGAAGGGGACACCCTCTTCTCTATGGAAATACCAGGAGAGGGAGATAAGGTGTTACCCCTCAACAATGCCACACAAACCAGGCATGATGGCAAAATATTAGATTATCTGAGTGATAGAACAACTGGGTTCTTCTTTCAAGCCCCCTTTCTGTTGTCTTCTCTAGATACTAGGAGGTCCAAGGGTTTCTAAGGCAATAAGGTATGGCCTGATCCGAGTGCATGGGCACTCGGGCTATTGCTGGGCCCTCAGCCCTTGCACATATCACAAATCAATCACAGCACTCTGGACTCACTTGAACCCAAAGGCCCAGGCAGCTGTTCCCTGTTAACCACCAATCTTTGCCCTCTGAAGAGTAGCCCTTTCCTCTTCCCAAGACTCAGTATGGACAGGCTTCTTGAAGGAAGTGGGCATGGAATTAAAGCCAAAACCCCAAAGGGCAGGTTGTGTTAAGGGTCCTTGTTGCATGTTTTCTGTGCAGCAGAAAAGTAGGTGGCATCTGATGACTCACTTCCAGGTCTCAGCCTGTCAGGGAAGCCTTGGGAAATGGGGGCCGGGTCTTCCCTTATCACTTTAGCACCCAGGGCAAAGCCCGGGGGATGGGGGGTAGAGGGAGGCTATCTTTGAGTAGGCTGAGTAGGCTCATCATCAAAGAAAATTAAAATAAGGAAACCTAGGAATGGGGGTAACTGACCCAATTAAAAAAAAAAAGGAGACTGAAGCCCAGAGAAAGGAAGGCTATGCCATCAGCATGTGGCAGAATTAGGCAATGACATCACCTCCACTCTCTTCCACTCCATTCCCTCTGTACAAAGGTGGCCCAGGGCCAGAGGAAGGGGCAATGGAGGCTGTGAGACAAAGGCGAGGCTTCTGCCTTCAGTAGTAATATGGATTCAGTGGCCTGGAGAAAAGCCGTCTTGTTACAAACATGTGGAAATGTGGGAAAACATGAAACACCCTTTAACTTCATATAAGGACGCTCAAGGAAGTAAGGAAAATCCTCAGGAGCTAAAAACAAGAGGAAGTGGGGGAAGCCAAGTGGGAGGCACTCTGTCAACAAGGTGGTGAGGAGGTCTTTTCAACAACTTGTGCTGGAACAACTGGACAGGAGACAGGAAAAACTAGAATTGATCTTCACCTCACACCATTCATAGTAATTAGTTCAAAAATGGGCCATAGAACTTAAGAGCTAACATAAAATTCCCAGGGGAAATATTGGAGAAAATATTCTTGGAAGGCAGCTATGCTAACCACTATACCACCAATGCCTCATTGAGAAAATATTCTTGATATTAAAGCAGACACCGGACAATAGAAAAGTAATGGAAATGATCATTTTTTAAATGGATAGAACTTCAGCAAAATTTAAAACTTCTGCTCTTCAAAAAAACATCTATAGGAAAACAAAGGTTCACTACAAATGAAGAAAATCAGAAATTTCTAGAATGTATAATGCTTACAACTCAAGATGGACAGCTCAAGTTTTAAAAATAGACTAAACATTTGAACAGAATTTTGTAAAAGAAACTATATAGATGAAAAAAGCATGTAATAAATGCCCAATATTATTAGTCTTCAAGGAAATGCAATTAAAACCACAAATGAAATACTTCTAAACACCTATTAAAATGGCTTTGAAAATACTTTTTTTTAACTGAAAATAACAGTCCTGGCACATAGTGTCAATACCTTCTATGACCACAGGAAGGAAGCTCAGTAGGAGTAAGCTACAGACTTGTTCTGTAATGTCAAAGAGAGGACCTATAAAAGGAATGAAGGTCAGACATCTGGTTTTTCCACAGCAACACTAGATGCAAGAAGAATGTAGTTATTTTAAAGAATTGGAAGTAAAGTACTTCCCACTGTAGTAGAGATAGGAGTAAAGAAACTTAAGGACATGATATTGTGATAAAGTAGTTTGTTAGGAAGAAGAGCAGATATTGAGAAGTGCAAGAGTCAATAGGAATAAATAGCCATCATGAGAAAAAAAATAGAACATCTAATTTTTCAACCAGCCATGCTTATTTTATCCAATGAAAATAAAAGTGGAAAAAAGTAAAAGTAAATAGCAAAACAAATTCCAATATGAGAGCTAGCTAGTATAATAAATGTGAATGGGTTAAATTTACCACTCAAAAAACAGAGACTCTCACATCAAAAACTTGTACATTAATGTTCATCAAAACATTATTCACTATCGCTGTAAAATGCAAACAAATGTCATCAACTGATGAACAGATGAGTAAGTGTGATATAGCCATAAACAGGAATGTTATTCAGCAATGAACAAAGGATGAAATTCTCATACATGCTATAACATGGAGGAACCTTGAAAGTAAATAGAAAATAGCCACAAAAGACCACACGTTATATGACTCCATTTTATATGAACTATTCAGACTACACAAATCTCTAGAGACAGATTGTAAATTTGTGCTTGTCTTGGGATGAGGAGGGAGAAAATGGGGAGCAAAATGAGCTTCTTTGTCATGACGAACATGTTCTAAAGTTAAATAATGGTGGGGTTCCAAGATGGCGGCTAGAGGGAGGAAGCAGAAAGCAAGCCTCCTATAGTGAAATCTTGGAGAGATGCTGGAGACACACTTTGCAGGCATAATCACTGAGAAAAGGCATAACTTGACTCTCCACATCTCCAACCAGTGCAGAGAATCTCCACTTCACGTTAAAGGGAGAAACGAAGGAGGGCCCTGGGGCCGCCAGTGGCTGGCGCCCATACGGCTTGGAAGACCGCGGACCAGGTGAGCTCATGGTACTGCGGTACCACCAAAGACAAGCCTGGGCCAGAGCAGCATAGCCCCCTGGACAGCTGAACCTCCCCCGGGGAAATAAAAAGAAACTGAGTAATAAGCAATAAGAAACATTAAGACACGCTGGAAAGAGGGTGGGGCGCACTGAAGCAACCGAAGTTGGGGGAAGGGAATCTTCCCGGGACTGTAACATAAACAGCCGGCAGGCCGGAG